TTTATACCTCTTGGGGCAGTACAAATAATGTGATATGTGCTACTCTACTCTCCAATAATATGCTTATCAACTAATTATTAATTCTAAATAAATATTTACATCAGATGAGAAGGTTAATAAATATTAATATAGAAATATGAATAGGAATAGTCTTTCATATGACACTGCGCAATCTGCGGCGTAGCCGTTACAATAATATATTTAGCGCATCACATGACTTCCGTAGTAAGTTCGTTCTAATTGGTCAATATTAGCCGGGTAATTGATAGGTCCAAGATTTACTATCTCACAATATCATTTTTCACATCAAAAGAAATATCTTATCATAATATTATTCATTTTGAAAGTGATGGTACTTCTAATATGATTGGTATGAATTGATATTCAATTAAATGAAATTTTATATTTTTTTATTTTAACTAATCAAATTTTTAATTTAAAAAAACCAATCCATCCATGACCTCAAACCATTGTATATCACATAGACTTCATCTAGCTGGCAAAGGTGCATCAAAAGAGGTCACTTATTTTGAAAAATATGAAAAAACTTTAAAAAATTTATATAGCTATTTTTCAAAATCTCATAAAAGACAACAATATTAAAGTTGATGTAGGTAATTATATTTGTATTTTATTCATTTATTTATTCCTAATTTTTAATAACCTTCATCATAATTAGGAAATCAATGAAGAGCCATCACTTGTAGTATTAAATATGTGTGATACTAGGTGGTTGTCATTTTCAAATTCCGTGAGTAATTTACATAAATCATGAAATCTGTATTGTCTACTCTGAATGATATATTGAAGGAGATAAACTTGCAGAAATTTTATATCAACAATTAGATGACACTTTTATTTTAACAACAATGTATCTTGCTAATTTAACAAATATTTTAAAGAAATTAATCAATACATTTCAGTTGGAACATTTATCCATATCTCATTTTAAATTAGAACTTGATATTGCAATTAAAACAATTGAAACTAAATTTATAGGTTCTGAAGAGATTCTGGTACAATATTCAAAGAATATTTAGAAGATAACTATAATTCTATCCCATCATTTGTTAGAGAATACTCAATTGCAATCATTAATGCCATTAAGAACAAATTTCCAGAATCTGAATTATATAATACTTTTAGTATTTTTGATCTAAAATAACTTCCAGATGATGACAGAGAGTTAGTCTTATATGGAAATCAAGAAATAGAATTTTTAGGTAACTTTTATGGATAAAATAAATTTGCAAATGAAAATGAATTTAGTGCAATATTTGATAAAGAAAGACTTAAACAAGAGTGGAATTTAGTTAAATATTATCTTCTGATCTATAAAAATAATAATAGAGAAATGGATTTTATTCAATTATGGCAACATATTTTGGATACTGATGATGATTTTTCTTTTAATTATCCAACAATAGTGTTAGTTGTTAAAATAGCACTATTTATACCTCTTTCTAATGCTCATGTAGAAAGAATATTTTCTCAAATGAAATTAATTAAAAATAATTTGAGGAATAAAATGCATTTAAATGCATTAGATAAACATTTAATGATTTTATTAAATGGCCCAGAAATTGATGACTTTGATTTTTTAAAAGCATATGAGAATTGGGAAAGTAAAAAAACAAGGAGGAATAATTAATATTTAATTTTTTTATTTTGTAAAATTACTAATTTATTTTGTATATAAAATAAAAATTTCAAAGTTATGTGCACACATTATGTGTGACGTGATATGCTCCAACTGAATTTTCAACATTGACCCTAGGCAAGATGGCTAAAATCATCTGGAAAATTCACTAATACTAATACTAATACTAAATTCACTGTGATTATCCATGATTATCATCAGTTAAATTTCCCTGGATAGGTTATATCCTACTTTGTAAAGCCTCCCTTTTCTATCCCTGTCTGCATGTGCTGTCTATAGATATAGAACTATCCCTATATAAAAATAGTTATATGAAACTCATTTATATCAGATCTACTATGGAACCCAAGAATTACAGCACCATTAGAAGTATTTTGAAGAAAGAACAAGGTGAAAAAATTTATATTTTCAAAATAAATGATATTATGAAATTTACAAGAAGAAAGAAAAAAATAAACATTAAGAAAAGAAAGCAGGGTGAAGATTAAGGATGTTAGCCAAAATTGGTTTTGAAAAAATCAATTTCGGCAAGCAATTTCAGATTCACAATATTTTTCATATTAAAGACCATAAAAAGACAACCTAGCATTTCGGCTATTATGTTAATGAGTCCAAATAATTTTGGATATAATTTTGGCAACTAATAAAGTTAATTTCAGAAACTATTTTGGCATTTCGGATTCGGCGATGATCATTTATTAAGAGAGGCAATTTTGGCTAACATCTATAGTGAAGATGCATTATTACCTAACAAAAAGCAAAAATCTTTAAAAGGAAAATAATCCCATTGTTACAATATTGATTTATTATTTCTTTTTAGTCCTCCTAATAACATAAATCATAGCAATTATAAAACCTAAGATTAAAACTATGCTATTCATAATCAAATAGATTTATCATTGAACTTTTCTTTTTCATTCTTTGAAGTATTGTTTTTATATTCTGCTGCTGTTTTGACTAAAGCTCCTCACAAGCTGGCTTGCAAGCCAAAAAACTTATTCAGCTTGCGAGCCTACTAAGTCATTTGGCTTGTGAGCTGGCTCATGTGGAGCCTTAGTTTTGGCAAAATCTTCACCTTTTAAGCCAGAGACAGTAGTTTTAACATATCACATTTGTAATCAAGAAGAATATAAATTATTATTATTATTACCAGTAACTGTTTTTTATAATCACTGGATTATCATCAATAAGATATCAAAAGCCAGAACATTTTCTCTAAAGAAAAATAACTATCATTTTCTTTGATAGTTGGAAATGAATTTATAGAGAGGAAAATAACCAAAAATTTCTTATTTCCTGTTTTCCTCTTCTAGTTGTTTAATTTTTTCTTCTAAACTCTTTATCTTATCTGATAACTCTTGCTTCTGCTTTTTACTTCACTCTTCAGATTTTTCCTGAAGCTTGGCTACTTCTCTTTCAGTTTTTAATTCTTCTTTGGTAAGTGATAACCAGTGTTGGAAATTCGTCGATCTTATGATCTGCAAAAAAAAATTTGTGCACATATGAACACAAGAAATTTTTATT